AACCGGGATAAAAAAAAAAAAAAAAAAAACTGACATTGCAGGACCACAGGAAAGGTGGGATTTTAGGCCTACTGAAATTAACAGGAGATTTGCTAAAGACTGCTTTAAATTTAATGTCATCCATGCACAATGTATAATGCAAGTGGAATACTTGTCCTTGCTTTGTTATGTACATCAGACTTTAAGCACTTTTAACAATTTATTTTAACAATTACGTTGTTTTTTTTTTGTTTTTTTTTTGAAGGTGAAGTGAGTAATTTCTGCGCCACTAGTGACACCAAGTGGTTGTTTTAAATGGCGTTCGAACTGGGCTGCGTTCAGCCCCGACAAAACGGTGCAAAACGTTTTAACATGTGCAAACAATATACTTGCTCTTGTGAATTTATTTTGATGTTAATTACATTGTGCGAGCTGTCTCTTTAATACCGCGTGGTTTACATACATGTTGCTGCTGATTGGGCTGACATTTTTGACACACCCATCAAACAAGAGAAAACGTATCTCAAACTCGTTGCACACTGTTGCACACCATTTTCAGGAAACATGTCGTTCAAACCGGAAACCGTAGCAAAACCTTGTGCACCGGTTTGAGCTTGAACTTGCCCCTGGTGTTCCCCTGAACACTTGCAATGTTGTTGATTGGTGAGACAAAATAAATAGCCCCGCCCCCAAACTCACGCCATTGGTTAAGGCAGTGGTACTTTGTCGGACTCGGAGTGGTCTACATTTTTAAGCAAACGGCACAGTGGAACCACAGTGTTAACTCGCCAAAAAACTAAAAGAAGAAGAAGAACCACGGTGTTACACTTTGTTAAACTCACGAATGGCAAAAATGTGGTTGTCTCTGCATTTAAGCTGGGATAAGAGAAAGTAGCCTATGTTATTTAGTCATGGGAGAAGCGAGGCTATTTGAATATTCGAATCGATTGAACTCATTGCTTTGCAAATGATTCACTGTTTCGAACTACTCGAATTGCAGCACTATGACATGTTGGTTAAAATCCATGGGTTAAAACTATAAAACTTGCTTGAGTTAAGCTACAACCATACCTACATTTAATACTGGTTCGCTTATTAGCAAAAAACAACTACTGTGAAAACCACTAAACATCTCAAAGGAAGCCTTGTTTGCTAAAATCACGTGACTTGTTTATGCGCTTTTTTGAAGCACTGATTCAAAACAAAAGA